AAAACAGAAGGCGTGATGTGCAAAGAGAAACCTGACACGTTCATCAAGAAGTGCTCAGTGGCACAACGGCAGGAAAGATTCAACTCCTCTGAGAACTGATGCAGAGCAGAGTTCATCCGATGTACGATTTAAAAATCAGCTCGTATTTATTACTCTTTGAGAAGAGCGACCGCTTCGTTCTCATTTCCTGCCGTACGTGTTAAACACGAGCTCGTGTGCACTCGTGCCCCGTCAGACACGCCGAACCCTCATGTTGAAACAGTTTTTTCTCATCACGGATCAGTATGATGTCACATGGAGCAGACAGAAGCCCCACCCACCTGCTCTTCAAATACTTTGCAGCCAATCAAAAGAAAGTTATTTTAAAGGGGGAGGGACTAGAAGATGAGCCACACCTACAATCTGACCGTGTTTGTGTTTAACATGTAACCGATGAGAAAGTCGATTTCAGTCCCAGCGTGGACGTGTCGGCGCTGCTGAACTCACCGCTCTTCTTGACCCCGCCCTGCTGGTTGGCCTGCTGCTGAGCGTAGGCGGCGAGTTTGGTCATCAGAGGCTGCTTCTGCAGAACCTTGGCTTTCTTGGTAGGAGGCTTTCCCTGACAAACACAGACACACGGAGCCCGTCACACCTAACATCAGAAAAGTTCAAGGCAAAGTGTTCCTACACCCCCGTTACCTGCAGCCTGGCGAGGATGCTGGCCTTCTTGGAGTTGGATGAGTAGCTCCTGGAGCACGAGACGCTGCAGAAACGTTTGGTTTTGCTGTAGAAGGCGTCTCTGACGCCGACCATGCCGCACATCTCACAGGTCGCTGAGGAGAGCAGAGAGAGAGCAACTGAGGACGCAGATCGACCGACTCAGAAAACCAGGTCCTGATTCTAGACGTGAACTGACCCATGCCGGCCTTCCCGTCGGGGTACGTGTACACCTGACCGTTGGTCTTGATGAGCGTCAGTGAAGAGGAGGGGTTTAGCTGAGTGACCCCTCCTCCTAACTCTTCGTCCTCGCTGTCCTCGGGACTAGAGGCGCCGCTCCCCCCGCTGGACTCGGTGCTGCAGCTGCTCCGGTCCTCATCCAGACCGTCCAGCATTCCGAACGAGTCCCGCCGCTTCCGGGACTGACGCTCCACCTGAGGACGGAAGACAGTCTAAAGTCACAAAGACCCCAAAAAGCCATTGACCCCATTAAAACTGTATTTAATCCACAGAAACACAATCGTAACCACAAATATTTTATTAAATGTTCTCAGGTTGTAACAACAAAGATCTGTGAAGGTCATGAATATTCCTTCTCTGGTCCATCCTCTGACCTCTACCCATCATCACGTCGCAGCAGTGGGTTTGGAGCTCCTGCAGCGCTGCAGCACAGAGAGGCTGACTGACAGCACAAAGACAGAAGCCACAACACCGGGTCACCTCCAGGATTCCCCTCACTTCCGCTCACTCTGAGCCCCGACAGCGGGGTTAAACCTGTGCACCCCCCGCCCCCTCTGCCGCTGCCAGCATTAAATTCGGCGGCATTAAATTTGTGCAGCACTGCAGTCTGCTCCTGGAAAAGCCGTTTTTCGGTGCTGATCCACGGTGACGCTCCGCGCTCTGAATGTACGAGTATGTAGCGGGAAAAAGCAAAACGATAAACACGTTTACTTTTTATTTAATTAAAACGTGTTTACCGGAATACATGCATGCCGAATTAAAAAACATGTTGTCAGGTTTGTGAAACTTTTATAGACAACATCCAGTCCAATGTCTGTCTTTGGAAACAAGCAGCAAAACTAATACCGAAGGACTTTCAAAGGAGATCTGACACGAGATTTTGGCCATAACAGGTAAAGTGAATATAAATCTACGTTTTGGCCGGTTACATAACTACTCCAGTCTTTATATAGATACAGAATTAAACTCTGAGTTGACCTTGTTACCAACTGATGAAATTTATCTTACGTTTGAACATGTGTTTCTGTCAATGAACGAAAATATCTTAAATTTAACGATTTCTCAATGGAGTTTTGCTTTAACACTCAGTCCGCGGTCGCTTTTAAGCTGTCCCTAAAGCAAGCATTAAAAATGAAGGAAGACCCGCTTCCGGGCGGCTCGGGGGAGCCCCGGGACTCACCAGGTCTCTGGGGTTTTCCATCAGGTGGGGTCGTGAAAGGAGTACGCTCTCTGACAGCAGAACCCGCAGGAGCAATCATTAAAGACCAGCGGCAGACATGTCAACAAAACACCAACTGCTTCGCTGCGCAGGCGCTCGACAGGCTGACGCTGATTGGCTGAGGCTCCTGCTTCGTGTTATTTAATAAGAAATGATGAGTCCTCCAGGGACCCCTGCTGGTTTGACGGTGAAGCGCCAATAATGAGATAAATACGAACAGGTAAAACAAACAAAGTGTAGAAATAAACGGAACAAACAGCGTTCCGGTCGCCAGTACCGTCTGACCTGATCTTTAAACTAAAATCAGTTCTATGTGCAACTATATATATATATA